GAGCGTGGCACCAGCATCTCTTCATCTTCTTGTCGCTAAAACCGACCAAAAAAATAAACAACAGAACTTAAGCTTGATCCAGTAAAAACCCTAGCATTTTATCCTAAATAACGACAATTTCTCCGCCCATGTAAATCAACACAGCGTGAGAAAAATATATTCAATCCAGCAACCAAAACCTCCCATTTAATCACGAAAACCCCCGTCTATGATCATCAGGCTCAGTACCGTGCACATAAATTTAATTCGTTATACACCCCCGAGCAGAAAAATTCAAAAAATTAATTAAAACAGAAAGGTATGTGCATGAAATATATATACAAGTGAAGTTGATTTTGGGAGAAAGTAATTTTTCCAGAGGACGTAGTGTTAAAATGTATGGAGAATGTGAATTTGGAAAATTCAATTCCAAAGAAGAGCTAAAAGTGAATAATTGGGAAAATGCGTGCGAATAAGGGGGAGGAGTTACATCCAACGGTTGAGGAGCCAGAATCGTCATGGAGGGAGAAATCAGAGCCGTCGATCGATAAACTACGCAGTGATTAATGTAATTTCAGAGATGAAGATGAAAAGAAAGTAGAAGAGAAAGACTTCTGGCTTTCTGTGTTTTGGTTTCTCGATGGGAAGGGGATATGTTGGGGATTATTGGGAATGTTTGGGGTAAAATTGAGAAATAAAAGTATCGAGAGATAGCGTTCTATTGTGGTCGAGTGCGGATGTGTGAAAATTGCACTGATGGTCCCAACCTATGTATTTTTTATTTGGATTAACCTCTTACGTTTTTTTTTTGGGGACCCGTTTGCCATGATTAAGTTAAAAATAACTTTTGAAATTCAAAAATTACATTTGAATCCTTTGACTAATTTTATGTAAGTATTTTTTCTAATTAAAGAAGTTTTTAGAAGAAGTTGATCCAACGTAACTTCTTCTAAAAAACACTTTGAGAATAGAAAGCTCTTTTAAAAAAAATTAGTTTTTAAACAAAAATTTAGATAATGTCTTTCAAAAGTACTTTTACGTGATGTATAAGTAAAATGTATGACACACGAACCCTTAACAAATTTAAGGTCAAATTCGCTATTCAAGCGAATGAGATTGTCGTAGTGTGTGTTGGACATGCTTTTTCAAAATTTTAAAAGAATTTTCTAAATGTTAAAAGCTCTTCTATTTTTATTTTTATTTTCATTTTCAAAAAATCTTGATTGTTTGATTAAAGTCAAAAGTGCTTCTCAACAAAAAAATAATTTTAAAAGAGGTCGTTTTAGAAAAGATTAAATTTCAAGCTTCTCTAAAACAGCTCAAATCGAGTGTTTACGAGAGGTTGTGATTTGCCTTTAATGAAATTTAAAAATTAACAAAAATACACATTAATGTATGAAACAAAACTTTCTACTTCTAAGCAGTTAAAAATACAAAGTTGATACAAAAACACTTTTATAATTATGTTGGTATATAGTAGGGATGCCAATGGTTCGGTTTCGGTTTGATTTGGTCAAAACTATCACCGAACCGTTAAATTTTTTTTGTCATACCATAATCGCACCATAACCACGTAAATCGATTCGGTTCAGTTCGGTTAGTATCTCGGCTAAGTTCGGTTCAGTTCGATTAATAACCACAAAAATAAATTATTTTTTATAAGTCAATCCATCAAATTGATATAAAATAATTTATGAAAATAGAGTCAATGAAAACAAAAACACAATATTTCAAACGAAAATGCAAACATTATCCCAAATTCCATTTGCAAAATACAAATTTGACAAACAATATTATGAATATAACAATACTAAACTTTTCCTTCATTATTGATTCTTGCGTATTATAGTTACTTGATTCATGCTCAATAATTCAAAAACTTCAATCTTAATTCATATTCAATCTCCATTCTTCTCCACAACTTTTATAACATGGGTCAGCACTTAATATTGATTCCTATATATTAAATAAAAAATGTAAGTAGATAATACAACGATACTATCTTATCCAGAATGATTTTAACTAATATTTAAATAAAAAAAATGTACATCTTCGTCAATTTCCTCCTTATTAAACATTATCATCCCTAATAAAATAATTGTTTTTTTTAAAGCGAGTAATTGGTTCTACGGTATAAATACCATACCCGCACCGTCACGAACTGGTTCATTAAAATCAAATACCATATCCGCCCCATTACACTATCGGTTCGATTTTTTTCGCCCCATTTGATTCTGTTAACCGCGATTTTCGATTTTAACGATTCAAATTGTCGTCACTAGTATATAGTCAATTTAATATTCACATTACATTCACAACCATAAAGTAAACAAATTAAAAGGATATACTTACAACAATTGTGCCTAACGGATGCTGAGTTTATTTTAATCTAATTCGATTTATGAATAAAACGTCACTCTCTCTAATATTCAAATCTAAGATGCTAAGTTTTGAATATCCACTTTATATATAAACCAAGCTAAGATCATTTTCATATCATAATAAGATAATACTATAAAGAATGTAATTACTTATTTCATAGCAGACAAACTAAAAAGAATGAAATAGCACTAGCAAGTTAAATATCAAGGTTTGAGTCTAATTTGAGAAGAATCGTAAAATTAAAAAAACAAAAACAAAAATAAATAAATAAATAATTAATGATCTTGAGACGTGCAATCATGGATGAACTTTTGCTCGAGAGCTTGACTTTCATAACAACTAACAATATTATAAATAAATAAACAGTCATACGAATAAACTAGATACACTCATTTTTTAACGACGTGTAAAAAGATCCAATTCGTATTGAATCGTTACATGATATATGATATATCTCATTTTATAAAGCAAAATTTTACTTCACAACTCAAAGCAGTGTATAAAATTTTTGTAATGGGTCATTTTTTATGAGGTTATATTGAAAATATAGACAATAGTCATCGTTACCATGATAATATACAACTTTAATGATGTATTAAAGACTGACTCGCAATCTGATTCAATAGGACAAGGATCATTGATGCAAATTCGATCAGTCCATGACTTTCTTTGTTGGCTCCTACTCTACCAGACGGTGACCGGCTCCATAGGGAATAGCCAATGAGAATGTGACACTAGTGAGTGCCCAAAATTCTCTGTACTACTTTTCTGTAATTATAACGCGATGGGATTGTCGCGTGTGATTAACCGAAGTGATATTTTAGTAATTTTTGACATTTCATGTTTACTTTTCATTTTACGATTTTCTTTTTCTGTTTCTTTATCTCCTCTTTCTTGAACTTCTAGAATTTTCTAGTACAAACGAAGTAATATTTCATCTAGTCTCTGGATGTCCAGGCCTCCTTCGTAACTATCCATGTGATTGAATGCTCTCACAATTTTAAAACGACAACGTAATTATCAGGAATGTACTCTCACTAGGCCCCAAAAGTAAGAGTATGGGTGAAAGCCATTCGAATTGTGCGATTTGTGCTATATTTTCAACTCAAATCATTTTATATGGTTAAAATTTCAAACCAAATCGAAGTAAACCATAATTTGCAATTTAGTTCGATTTTAATCCGCGATTTACCTTTTGATATTATAGTAATGTATTTAACATAAGTTTAAACGAAAAATAATAATGTTAAATGATAAATTACATTCATATTTTCAAATTTGGTTTCTAAAAGATGTTAATAGAACAAATACATCTTTCTTAATTTTTATTTACCTTTTTCTTGTTTGACTTTATATTGTCGTATAACGGTTAGTAAATGTAGAGTTATATTTAGTTATTATAATTTAGTTAAAACTCATTTTCGTCTTGCTAGTGAGATATTAAATAAGGATAGAACGGAATATGTTTAGATGTACAAATATTGATAGAGTTTCGACTTATTGAAAATTGACGAATTTCATCTTTTAACTACTTTATGAAAGTAAAAAGTAGTAGTACTAGTTAGAAAACTTAAACATTTTTACACAGTCAATACGCTCCGTCCTTCATTCTTTCCAAATCACAAACAAGTTCATTAATTATATAGGCACACAAACAATCATTTTTTTTTCCAAATTACAACTCACAAATGTATAATAAGCAAAAAAAAGAAAAAGAATAATAAAAAAATGGCTTGAATAAGAATCTAAGACTTACTGAAAAAGAAGAGAAAAGGTGACGATTCAGGTAAAGATCAATAGACTAACAAGCAAAGGCGATTGATTATTCGTTCAGTAATGACAGACAAGCGTCAAATGTTAGAAAAATGATAGTTTACGTTAGGGCTTCGAAACTTTAGATATGATTTGCTGATGTAGTTTTGTCAAATATGATTTAAATTGTTAAATATATATATATATATATATATATATATATATATATATTGGTCATTTCACATGATTTTGGAATAATTTTTGTTAATTTAAATATTCGATGAGGACAAGTGTTGTGAACCTGTTAAATCATATGTCAATAATAATGAAGCTAATTTACTTTTTATGATTATTTCAATAAGTTGGATGAGGACAAGTGTTGTGAACCTGTTAAATCATATGTCAATAATAATGAAGCTAATTTACTTTTTATGATTATTTCAATAAGTTGGATGAGGACAAGTGTTGTGAACCTGTTAAATCATATGTCAATAATAATGAAGCTAATTTACTTTTTATGATTATTTCAATAAGTTGGTTGTAATAAGTATTGCTAAATTGGTAATTTTTTTTAAAAAAAATGAAAAATGTAAAATTGTTAAATTAATAAAATTAATATTTTAATTAAAAAATTTAAAACAGTTCAATTCGATTTTATTCGATTTTTGAAAATCAAAACCTAAATTAAACTGTTTTGAAACGATTTGGTTCGATTTGAAGGAAAACAAACCACGGTTTCACGTGGACCCGAACTAATGGTTTCAACTCAACGATTTCGATTCAATTTTGCGATTTTATATTTTTTGTGTAGCCCTAAGTAAGAGGGGCCCCCATCTCTCTCTCCATTATATATCATAAATATTAAATAAATAGGAAAAATAAGTATATATTTAACAATCAATTTTATATGCTTAAAGCTGCGCGGATAGTAAATACACTAGAAACAACTCATATCATAAACATACATAAAGTTTAACAAGATCATCTCGACTACGCACGATACAATATTGATTACGGGAGCATATATACACAATAACCTTATTTCACTCGCGGGACTCAAGTTCTTGGTTCTGAATTATTATTTCAAATTTTTTGGTTCCATCAAGGGGATGATTTCTTGGGTGGTTTTACTACGAGAACTGCACATTTTGCATGGTGAGCGCAGTAATCGCTAACGCTCCCCAAAAACGCCCTAAAAAAAATCAATCTTGTAACGTTCGAATATAGTGTTTGAAAGGTAATAAAATTGTAAGAAGGGATCAAAGATCATCACCTCTTGATTTGGCCAAGTCCACGGCTACTAACAACAAGAAGATCAATGTTCATTTCTTCTACGGCTCGACAAATCCTGTCCTTTGGATCTCCCTCGAGAATAAGAGTTTTAGCTTTGACCTAAGTCGAAGAGATAACCATGACATGTTCAGTATCTACATTGTCCAAATTGTTAAGAAAACAAAATGTGAATTAAACTTACCATTTTGTCCCTGCACATCTCAAATGCACGAGAGAGTATTCTTGCACCATTTTGCTCTTGAGCTTTGCTTGCGGATTCCACTACTGAATTTCAAACGAAGACCCATCTCACAACTACTATAAATAATTTATGACAAGATAAATTAATCGGTACTATTTTTTTTCCAAACCAACCAAACATGTCCTTACACAGTGAGATAATTGGTTTAATTATTTGTATATATTGCAAGAAAAAAATTTGACAATTGAATTTTGGCTTGAAAACATCAACATTTATATTTGGTAGGGGATAAAATCAAATTTTTAGTAAATTTCGATAAAAAATAATGATACACGGGGTTGAAAAGTTGTGTATCCGTGATTAAAATTAATTATTAATTTTAATTTTAATTAAAATCTAAATTTTAATTTCCACGAAATAGGGACTAGATTCCTTATTCAATGAAAAATAATGAAAAACACCAACCGAAAATATGTCACCGTCAATGATGAGCCAACGATGTTTTGTAGATACAACAACGAAATAGAAATTTTCAACAACAAAATTCTTTCGAGCTAAAAATGATTGTGATCAATTCTTTGCTCCTGTTTAGATTTTATTTAACCTTTTAAAGTCAAATTTTAAGCACATGTTTGGTAGAATTCACAAGTACTCACCATTACTCATTTCGTGATACGTAACTTTTTAGTCAGAAAATGAAACACGTATTGAAGTTTAGGAATTTTAATGAGAAACGAACCATATCCACCAGGAAAGGCATAGCGAGGAAGGGGTTCCATGACATGAACTATGGTTACCACCTTGGACTCCTGCTCCGCCGTCGGAGGAGTGGTGCCACCACTGTACTTGAACAACTTATCAAGAATCCATTCAAGCGCGTAGAAACTCTCGTCACTATCATCAATAGCCACCAGTAAACTCATCATCTTCTTCCCCTCCGGCATCTCCACTGGCGGCTGCTCCGCCATCAAACCACTCTTACCGGTCTCAGCCGCTATCGGTTGCTGCTCCGCCGTTGCACCATAGTTGCTTGTCTCCATCTCTTCCTTTCCTGTTCTCTGTCCACCACCCTTAGCTTATATCTTGTTTGGTTGGACTTTAGCTTATTCGCAACGTGGCTTCTTTTGCGGTCTCTTTTTTGCATGAAAAGATGGAAGCTTCTATGTGCATGTACTCCACGTGTCAAACGCAAATTTTATCCTCCCAAAATAATCACATTATTTATTGTAAAACGTTAAAATATTAGTCTCCGGCCATTCTCATCCTCTCCTTTAGGATATCTATGACAATTAATTTTTCCTTTAATTGGATCGACTTCTTGGCAAAATCGGAAGACGCCAAAATACTTTTGATTTGCTTTTGCTAAAAATATTTAGTTTCTGCAGTTATCGATTGTAAAACCACTGTGCTTCAGAGCAAAGCAAACCCAATAAGAATATGAAAAATTCTATAAAGCTAGTCACAATGCATAATAGCTCAAATACAAGATAAGTTTTACATGGAAAATCCCCTCGATACTTCGAATTGAAAAGCATGATACAAATTAATATGAGGACAATAAGAACAGACTGAGAGGTAGCATTTCAAATTAGGTATATGCTACAATCTTGATTTATCGAGGAGAATTTTCATCGTTCATCCTTGGATTTAACCCTACTACCCAAGAATTTTCAAACGCACCACAGGACCTTGTAACTATATCAGATATAAAGCGTTAAGCTCCTTGTAGAAAATGACTTGCCCGGCAGAATGCCAGACGGCAGCACTGTATTGGATGTTGGACAAAAAACAAATTTAAACAAATCAATGCAGTGCTGCCACCTGCAAAAATGCCTAACAAAACCCTCTCTACATGTAGCATGATTCAATATAATTGTATCCTGGATACAGAATCTCTTTCCAGAATAAGTACGGTTTAACTATCGAGCGAAGGAAGATATTTAGCCAGTGTGATGGCCCTGATGGGAAATGGAGCAACCACTTCTAACATAATAAGAATTATGTGAAGAGGAAGAGGAAAAAAAGGAAAAATGAGAAGTGAACAAATATGAACAGTTTAATAATTATTTCATGATAAAGTGTATAACGTTAGCAAACAAATTCTAGCTACTTCATACATAATGCGTTTCAAAGAAAAGCTCATCAAGAAAACTAAATTAGAGACGCCTCAATTTTGATATTGGAAACCAAATAATTTAAACAGCAATTGGTACAAGCGAAGTGTAAATGCACCTTTACTCTGCCTCCCACCCATCTAGTCTTGTCCCAGGATTGTAGTTTGTGAACAGCCGAAACTCATTGCCAAGTTTGCTAGCGTGATGGGGTTGAAAACCACAGGGGCGCAAACCCAAGAGCTCAGCAGCCCTCTCCTTTTGCACCTCGCCTACAAGAAATCAAAAGGAGAAATAGTGAAGGCGTAACTTTTCTAATAAGATGGTATAATCTATACAAAACAGATTCTTCTGTCTAGACAATGTAAAATTTTAGCCAATTTGTCTGTATATACCTGTATATGATAATAACAAGCTTCAAAAATTGGGCAAACAAATTCTCAAATGCCATGAAACACGTGTGGAAAAAATTAAACTTGTTTTTCTTCATAGAGGTTAGTTTAACTTTTCCTATACCGGATTAGAAGAGAAAGATTGATCAGAAATCTACGTCTTACCAGTGAGTAAAAGAAGGTAAGATTGCCCTGGTCTTGAGAGAAATGAAATTGTTTCAGTAACTTTCTCCAAGCACTCCTTGCTCTGTTGCCACAGCCATCCATTGAATAAGATCATCAACGTCATGAATATCACACACAATTTTTCATTTACAGTTGAAAAAATTTAGAAGTGATATTTCATCTGCTATCAAACAAAGTTAAAAAGGAAGGTACAGGTATACAATTTCTGCCAGGGACTTGAGATACAAAAATGGAAGTAAAGCTATTGATCATTACTCGACCAAAGAGAGAGAAATATTATTCTTGCTATAGCAACCTGGCGAAAAATGGCATATACATAACAGTACATATATTGGTGAATTTTCCAATTCAACTGAACATCTCTAATACCAAAAGCTGCACAAGTCATCCATCTCATAATATAATTACCAGTCAAAATGACACTAACATAGGAGAATATATTTTTATATAGATTAAAAAGTTGGATTTGTTTGATTCATGATAAAACTTGTTTCCATTCACATGCAAACATCGCCAACCAAGTACCCAGTACAGTAAGCTACTAAAGTGGATTGTGCAAGCCTATACCAACTGAAACAAGGTGAAAGAGTTTTTCAAATTCATATTATTTATCATGCTTCAAATTTTCTTGTCCCACTATGTCCTTTTAAACTCTAAATCCAGAATTAAACACTCATCCAGATAGGCTGCTTGTGCTGTTCGCACAGGCTAGCTACGAGCAGTTACGTCATAATATGTCCCAACCATCTATATCTAGCTTTCTTTAAACAGGAAAGAAATTTATTATGAATATTATAATTAGTAAGCCATAAAACAGAAAATTATTCCAACTGCCTCCATCCCTACTTCCACCATCATAATTAGAAAAAAAATCCACTTTCACCAGCAATCAAACCTCCATGCATATTGATTAGTTTTCCCTCATTTTCTTTGTATCCTTTATCATTTTCTTATAAATGGACAGTGTATGTGACTCTACTAGTGCCTGATTCATCACTGGAACCTGTCATTTGGAACAGTATGTGCCCGGTATTCCTTGATCAAATAATAAGAAGCTAAAAATATCAAATGTGCAGCCAAAAGTGACTGTTCACACAGTGATTTGTCATCCAAAAGTGAATATACTAGCATCACGAGTTCATCACCACCAAACCCACCATTCTCCCCTTAGCCATCATCAACGGATACAAGAAAAAGGGGAAACGAGAAGAAAAAGCAACCACTAAGTACTACTACAAACCCTTCTCCGGACTGATTAATATCTATTTGAATCCATGCCGTGATGATCAAATTGCAATCTTATTATTACGAGAGGACAAAGATTGCTTCAGTATCTGGGTTTTATGAGAGGTAGGTGCCGGTTCTGTTCTAGATCAGAAAAAGGTGCCAGCAACGGAGAGAAAGAAATAGAGAGAAGGAGGACAATCAGGTAGGATAGCAGTGGACGTGCTTGAGAATAAAGAGATCTGATGGTGATTGAAGACGGGATATGGTTGGCCAGTGAAGTAGAAAGAGGCAGGCTCTTCCTTTTTGCTTTAGAATTTTATAAACTCTTGGAAGGGTACCTAGTTAATATTGGGACATTGTAACTAGAACTAATTACATTAAAGGGTTATTACTTAATTTCACACGGCCAACATAGTTTGGGAGGAAAAATCTGAAGACGTAAAGCACCTAAATGTTGATATCCTATTCTTTCCTTGAAAAACATGTGGTAGCAAGTTGGGTGAGTAAGTGGATGAGTTTTAAACGGTAGCAAGAAGGGTGAGTTAGTGGGCACCCAAAATAAGTTCAGGAACCAAAATTATACTCTAGCTACCAACAATATTTTGTACATTCAGCACCTCCAGCTTCAGAGTTAAGACCATATAAAATAATATTTTTTTCCACAAACATTTAACTAATAACGTCTTAATATATTCTATATGCAGAATGCTTTTAAATATATATATATATATATATATATATATATGTGTGTGTGTGTGTGTGTGTGTGTGTGTGTGTTCACTTTGGTGCTACAAGATAAACTTTTACCAGGTAAGGAGGATCTGCAACTATAATTGGAAATGAATGCTTTAATGACAACGGAAGATCATCAGGCTGGTTGTAGTCATAGAATGTAAACTCTGTCCCATACTGCTCAAATCTTTTATCATACTCCAGAAGCTGTGCAGATACTTCTGGACCAATTTTCTGAAATTTCCAATAAAATAAAGAGTAAGCATACAAATTACCATGCATATTAATTCCAACTCCATATAAATATGGGGTTGTAATATAGTAAACTATGCTTTCCACAACAGTACCTTGCCAATATGATTCTGATTTCTCAAATATCCAATAAAATGGAAGGAAAAATAAAAGCCAGCACATTGAACAATTACAACAAAGCAATAAATGGTGAAAACACCTATTACCAAGCAAATATTGCAACAAAGTACACATTTCTGATTTTCTGCAATAATTGTACCTCCAAATAAGTCATCAATCTTCTAAAATTTGTGTTAAAAAGGAAAAAATGGTAAAAAAATAATTCTTCCCCCCCCCCCCCCCCCCCCCCCCACCT